AGCCCAAATGCCAACTAATCTAGCCAGAAGGAATCTCTCCCTTCCCTGAAACACTAGAGCTTACAAATCAAATTCTACTTTGTACTTTACTGATGCATACCAACTTTGTTTCTTCCTAGATGCACCTGGCATGTTGGCTTATAGATGTCCACACAAATGTTTGTTGAATTAAAATAAGCCCATACTAACACTTAAAAATGAACAAAAGGCAGTGTGAGTGTGTGTATGTGTGTACGTATATTGCAGTGTTCTGTAGTGGACTGAGAGCTTAGAGAGCTGGCCTCAGAAACAAGACGGCCTGGGTTTAAATGTTACTTCTAACATATTCTGGCTGTGACCCTGGGCAAGTCACTTAATCAGACTCTAAGTTATAGAAAAGATTCTGACTTGCATTGGTGTAGGCAGCTTCCTCTTCTAGGAGGTCCTGATATCAATAAAATACCAATGCAATCACAGGTCTGGTATATAGATTAGATAGATCTTTTGACAAAACCATCAATTTTGTTAATATAGGGAGCTCCCCCCAAAATCCCTCTACCAATGTATATGTGCAACTTATGGCCTATATGCTGGGGGCACAGAGAGATCTTTTCAGGACAACAAAGTGGCAATGATTATATATCAGTATGTGTCTGAGGCAGGACTTGAACCCAGAACTTTCTGACTCCAAGACCAGCTCTCTATCCACTAGACTACATGGTGCACCTTCCCACTGATGTGATAATGTGTGGCATATATAATAAAAGTTCAGTTCAGCACTTTTAGGAAACCTCCTGTTTATAATCTCAAAGATTAGCAGGATTTGAGGCTTTGACAGTTTTCAGTCTGTAATCAAAATGAAAACCAAGTTCAAGGGAATTTTTGTCTTTATGCAAGCGGGGAAATAACAAAGGGTCGAATCTTCCCTGTGGGAACAGGGAAGGCTTCATGGCAGATGTAGGTCTTGAGCTAGGCCCTGAAGAAACGGTAGGAACAGGCTAGGTGAAAAGGAAGTAGGATGATATTTCATGAAGGGAGAAACACTGTGATCAAAAGTATAAAGAGGGTGCAGTGGATAGAGAACCGGTCCTGAAGTCAGGAGGACCTGAGTTCAAATCTGGCCTCAGACCAACCACTTGACATGTACTAGCTATGTGACCCTGGGCAAGTCACTTAACCCCAACTGCCTCGCAAAAAAAAAAAAAAAGTATAAAGAAAGAAATGCCAAGATATGTTCTCAAGGAAGTGAGAAGTATAGCCTGACTATAACAGAAAGTTCATATTGGAGAAGAGTAGGGCAAAAGATAGTTAATCTAGCAGGTCTAGGAGATACATTGTAGAGTCTCAAATGACAAACCAAGATAAAAATCTTAGGAGAATGCACCAAAGGTTCCAGAGCAGAGGATGTAAATGACAAATCTGGCATTTTAGTGTATTTTGATGGCAATGTATTAGACTCAATGGAAGGGGAAGGGACTGCGGACAGGCAGGTTTCCCTTATTACCAATAGTGATACACAACAAAGAGCTTTGGATTTGGATTAAAAAACCTGTGTGGTTTTGGAAAAGAGAGGCTTAAAACCTCTGGGCCTCAAGTTCCTTTTTTATAAAATTAAGGGGTGGTACCGAATGATTTCTTAAGGTTCCTTCTAGCTTCGAATCTTATGATCTATGTATGATCCAGGCAGAGCAGCCAAGAAGCTATTACGATAGTCTACATATAAAGGAAATGAGGCCCAAACTCAAATGGTGACAATGAAAAAATAAAAGAGAGATATAAAAATAATAATCAGGAAAAATTCAACAGGATTTAATAACTTAATGGCTATCAGGGACAAGGGAATGATAATATCAATAGCTCACATTTAAATAGCACTTAAAGATCTGAAAAGCATTTTACAAATATTATCTTCATTTTATCTACACAACGACTCTGGGAGATAAGTGTTATTATTATTATTGTTCCCATTATATGGATGAGGAAACCAAAGTAGAAGTGAAGTGACTTGACCAGGAGCATACACGTAGTAAATGTCCAAAGCTGGATTTGAACTCATGTCCACCTGACCCTAGGTTCAGAGCTCTACCCAGAATACCATATGGCTGCTTCAGAGAAGGAAGAATGAAAATGACTCAGGTTTTGCTCCTAGGTGACTCTAAGAATCATCCCATCTCTAATGAGAATAAAGAAGTAGAGCTGGTATGAGAGAAAAATAAGGAATGCTATTTCACACACATTGAATACTGGTGAAGAGACAATGGCACATCCACATGGAAATGTCTAGTAAGCAGCTTACTGAAGACTAGAAATATAAATCTAGGAGTCATTTGCATTTGTTCATTTATTCAATGACCAACTACTTACTATGTATGGAAATGCTGGAGATGTGGGGATATACAGGACAATTAGACTTGTTCCCTAACCTCAAAATGTTTATAAATTAATAGAAGAGACAATACAATGTAGTATGTGAGAAGTGTCAGGGGCAGGTAGGTGGCACAGTGGATAGAGCACTAGCCCTGGAGTCAGGAGGACATGAGTTCAAATCCGACCTCATGCACATAACACTCACTAGCCATGTGACTCTGGGCAAGTCACTTAACCCCAATTGCCTCACCAAAAAAAAAAGTGTCTTAAGATGCAAAGAGCTTTAGGAATTCAGAAGAGGCCACTATTTCAAATAGGGTTCACTGGGAGATCGTGTGTTACAGAGTTGGGAGTCAAAGAATTGCAAGTTTAATTTCTGCCCCTGTCACTCACTAGCTAGACGTCAGCGGGCTAGTCCAAGGTCACACAGGTCCTAAGTAATAGAACCTGGATTTGAATTCAGTTTCTATGAGTTGAAATCTAGTACTATTTTCCACTACACATCATGCTGGAAAATCATAAAAGTCATCTTGAAAGAAGACACATTAAACTTGGGCCACCAAGAATGGCTAAGATTTCAACAGGCAAGTATTGGGGGGGGGGGGCGCGCCTCCAGGAGAAGAAAATGGAAGTATGTAGAGCAAAGGTCAGTAACCTACACATATACCAAAGATAGCCTACAGGCCAGTCCCTGATAACTCTTATGCACACTCCCATCTCCCCATGAAAACCTGACCATTAATGTCTGCCTTTTTTCTCTCCCCTACTCCCTCCCTCCACATTCAAAGAAAAGATAATCAATGACCTCTCTTCCTGCCTGAACCATCATATTATATATCTTATCCTCTGCACTCTCCCCTCCCTCACTGAGTAGGCCAGCAGAAGCCCAAACATACTCCTTTTGCAAGACTATTGGATCCCTAGCAAAGAGCTAGAAAACACAAGGTGAGATACCGAACCTTTAAGAGTGGGGGAAGGAGTAAAGGAATAAGCAAAAAAGTCAATCAAGCAGTCAATAGCCATTCATTAAGTTCTATTAGGTGCTAGGCACTGTGTTAAGCACTGGTGATACAAAGAAAGGCAAAATACAATCCCTGTCCTTGAGGAGCTCACAGTCTAATGAAGGACACAACTAAATAACTACATATAAACAAGCTATATACAAGATAAAAAGGAAATAATCAACAGAGGGAAGGCACTAGAATTAAGGGGGATTAGGAAAGCCTTCTTACAGGTGGGATTTTAGCAACTTCAAAGAAGTCAGGGAAGCTAGGAGGTGAACTGGAGGAGAGCATTGTAGGCATGGGGAATAGCCAGATAAAATCAGAATTAGTGAGGACAGGGATATAATATCTAGACAAAACTATATCAGCAGAAACAAAAGAAGAAAACAACAGGCAATTGAGCCAAAACAAAAATACCAAATTTAGATCTACCAACAGTGCCTTTTAATACAATTTAAATGCTTAAAAGGTAAGGATTAACAATTAAGAGTAATGACCAAAGATATACCAAATTACCTTCACAAGAATGAATGTAAGTGGAAATGAAGGGGAAAAAGAAATGAGCATGTTTTTAAAATACCTACCTGTCAGGCACTTCACAAATATTATTTTACATGATCCTCACAACCCCTGGAAGTAGGTTCTATTATTATCCTCATTTTACAATTGGGGAAACTGAGCGAGAGGTTAAATGATTTGCCCAGAGTCACACAGTTAGTGTCTGAGGCTGAATTTGAACTCAGTTCTCGAAATATTCTCAGCCTGTTGTCTTCCCTGGCTTCCTTTAAGGTTCAACTAAAATCAGAAAGCTTCTCCCAACTTCTCTTAATTCTAGTGCAGTTGCTTTGTTAACTATTTCCTATTTATCCGGTATATAGTCTATTTGTATATATTTGTTTGTTTGCTGTATTCCTCATTAGATTGTAAGCTCTTCGATGGCTAGGTCTGTCATTTGCCTCTTTGTATCTCTAGGCCTTAGCATAAAGCCTGGCACAAGATAGGCATTTAATAAATGTTTATTGACTGATTTTTTGATTTCTGCCTCCAGGCCTATGTTCTTCTGGCTAGGAAAGCACAAATACAAATAATTTATAAATGTTTGTAACAGAGATTTCTTTTTTCAATGAAGACTGGGATGTGAGAGGAAGAGGAGGTGGATTTTCACTGATTTAAAAATTAATTTAAAAATAAAAAATTAAGCTACAAGGGAAAAGATGGACTTTCAAAATAGAGTACTTCCAAACATTCCTGATGAAAATACTAGAGTTGAACAGAAACTTTGAAATGTATGTAGTAGAGATTTGTGGTTTCACTTATAATTCCCTTTCTCTGTTCCATTTTTTATATGGTAATGTTCATTTTGCAGGGTGTTTCTTAAGTTCAGAATTTTAAAATTTTTAAAAAAATAATGTGACAGTTACCTGATAAATCAAAACAGGTACCTAAAATAAATAGTATCCAAGCAACTGGACAACCAACTGGGTTGACAAAAGGCAAAGGGCATCCTGGGGTATGCAGGGATAACCCCACCAATGGGAAGACAGTCTGTGATCCTGGAGAAGCTAAGGAAGTTCTCTGTAGTTCCCAGCTGATTTGCAGAGATCAAGCAACTTTAAATAGACTCATGTGGCCTAAGACCAAGATACTCACTTTTACTTAAGGCTACTCTGGCTGCTGAGGTCAAAGAAAGCCTAGTCAGTGAACTGGAAAAGTGGCCACAGTTACTGAAGGTACAGATGAGGTCAGCACCAAAGAAGTTCTTTCCTGAGATATCACCTCTTGTGGCCTAGTGCAGTAGATGAAGTTTGTCATCTCTCCCTTTCTCAGTTCTAGATAGGAAGCTGGCAAAAGGCAATGGAGAGAAAGTGGGGTCAGAAAAGATGGAATGGAGTAGCAAACAGATGAGTTTGGCAAAACCGTTCTCCTTTAAAAGAAAAAAAGTTTCATTAATAAGACCCTGAGGCCTTGGTTAGCCTTCCTGTAGATTCTTTAATTGTGACCTTTGACAATTCACTTCACTTCCCTATTACTTATTTTAAATGCTTTATTAAACTTCTGGAAAGTGGGAATTAATGGGACTCACAAGTGAGGAACAGGGAGTTAGGAGAACTGCCAAAGGTCATGGATTAGAGAGTCTAGAAAAGGCCTCCTTCCCTTCCTCCTTTAGGATCAGAGACACTGGGTAGGAAGGGACCTTAGTTACAGGCCATCTGGTCCGCCACCTAACCTTTCAAGAAAATGAGGAAGACCAAAAGACATCCAAAAAAAGGGAAAAGAATCTATTTGTTTGAAAACATTTACAGCAGCTCTTTTTGTGGAAATCAAAGGGATGTCCATCAATTGGAGAATGGCTAAACAAGCTGTGACATACAATTGCAATGGAATATTATTGTGCTGTAAGAAATGAGAAGCAGGATGATTTCAGAAAAACCTGGACTTACAGAACTGATGCACAGTGAAGTGAACAGAACCAGGAGAAAGTTATAGAAAGTAACAGTAACATGTTCCATGAAGAACTATGAATGACTTAGCTATTCTCAGCAATACAATGATTCAAGACAATCCCAAAGGACTAATGATGATGCATACTATCCACCTCCTGAGAAAGAACTGATATTGATTGAATACGGACTGAAGCATGCTATTTTTCACTTTCTTTCATTTTTTTCTTAATGTTTTGCATAATTGCACATGTATAACCTATATCTGCTTACTGTCTCAGGAAGGGGGGAGGGGAAGGAAGGAAGGAGGGATAGATTCTGGAACTCAAAAGTTTAAGTAAAAATGTTAAAAAACTGGGGGGGAAAAGCAAATGTTACCTCCATGGGGAAAAAAAAAGAAAATGAGGAAGTGCGAAATTATTTTTTCCAAGGTCACACATAGGTAGCAGGTAGAAGAGCAGGGATTCAAACCTAGAACCATCCTCTTCTTTCAAAATCAAGTCTTTCCATTTCATCTCAGGCCTTATCTGAAAGGTCATCAGCTGGCCAACCTCATAACATTTTAAGTGTTACTTTGTCACAAAGATATTCTTGCTAGAACACACAGGCTCTATGAAAAGGTGCCACTCAGCTTAGGTCTGTTAAACTTCATACCCTAGTTCAAAAGTACTTTGTAACTACTATTTTTCTCATTCCCAGAGGCTTGGAAAGAGAGGCAGGTATCTTAATATTCTCTTAAGGAAAGAAAATTGAGGAGCAATATGATTAGGGGCAAGGTCGGAGATGGGAGGCCAAGAAATAAAGTCCTCGATGAGTCTGACCTTTCAAGGACCCTGCCCCTTCCTTAGCTTTTAAAGAAAACTAACGAGCTTTTAAAAGAGTAACTGTGTGGTTGTAAAAACCTGACTCCAGTCTCCTCCAGACCTCCCTTAGCTCCGAAATCTAAGGAACCGAGAGTCCAAGCGGAAACGCATATCCAATGACTCGTGCTTTGCCAGACCCAGGCACAAACAAGCCCCGAAAGCGGCTACAACTTCCCAAGCCTGTCCGCCGGCCGCTCTCGGCTGGACAGTCAGGTGGGCGGGACTCCCAGACGGGACGGGGCGGGCCTCCCGGTAGTAGGAAGGGCGAGTTCTATCCCCAAGGCTGCGGCGCATTCGAAAGAGCTGTAGGGCGTGCCCGGGACCGGAGGGGTGGGGGTGGGAGTGGCCCGGACTCGAAGCTTAGAAAAGGAAGGGACAAACGGGACGAAGTGTCCGGACAAGATCACCTCCTCTCCTCGGCCCACGTGACGCTCTCCCCTCGACCTTGTGGGTCACGGGAGAGGAGGCAGCAACTGGTTCCCTCACATCCGCCCGCCGAAGTAACCCCGCCCCCTCATCCCAGGCGACCAATAAGAAGCCTCGCCGCGCCCGCGCGGGACCCGCAGCGCGCGCCGGCAGCCGCCAATCTCCGCCTGCAAATCGCTCCGGCCTTGCCCATTGGCTCTAATGGTAGTCTTTCAGAATTCTCCCATTCCCCACCCGTCCCCCCTCCGCCTCATCCTGGTTCTGACTCTCCTCCCTACCCCGTTCTCTCTTCGCCCCCCTCAATTCCAAACCCCCTCCCCCTCCAGCCTGCAGGCCAAGTCACCCGGGCGGTGGCTGCAAGGACACATTGTCCGTGCTTCTTGCTCGCGGCTGTCCTGCCTCTGTAGTCCATGGGACAAAAGCCCCAGTCATGACCCCAGTCCCAGTCCCTGGCAAACAGTAAGAGTAGAGGAGGTACCTGTCTCCGACTCCGGCTCCACCCGGGAATGAGGTACCGACTCCCCCACTCTCGGCAACACCAGCGCCTTCGCCCCGCCCCCTCCCGCCCCGGCGTGTTACGTCACCACGCAGTCTGTCCCGCCCCCTCCGAGCCCGGAGATGCCGAAGCACCGCCTTTGGGCTTTCAATTTCCCACCTCCTCTCGGTCACCCACTTGCCCCACCCCCGAGTTCTAGACTCCCGGGGCGTGAAACCTGACAGCTGCCTCTCGAGAGGGCCTTCCTTCCCAGGGCTAGCTGTCGCTTGCGAGGCCTAAGGCGGGATGTACACTCTAGGGATGGAGAGGGTTCTGCCCGGGTTGTGACGTCACAGTGTTCAGTGACTCTGCTACGTCTAGGGCCCTTGGAATGTTGTGACAGTGGAAGGGCGCGCGTGCTGGACTCGAGCTCGCAGACCCTGGAACGCAGCAGGGAGCAGGTGGTAGAAAAGATGGGGTGAACTAGGGAGGCAACTGGGACCCCCGCCCTCACGTCGGTTCTCAACTCTTTCCGCACGGGTCATACAGCGCTTAGTCATAGTTCCTAGTGCCCTACCCAGCCCTGCCCTGCCCGATTGGCTTCTACTTAGATGTTGACAGCAAGGGCTGGATGATTGCACGGAACCTCCTTAGGGAGGGAATATATTTCTTAGTCAGTTCAATTCAAGTGTTTATCAGTCTCTTGATTGGATTAGTAAAACATTAATTTTGTCATGAGATAATAGGAATAACTACATATAGGTTATAGAGCAGCTACCTCTTTAACATAGGGATTCTGAATTTTTTTTAATATGGCATATACTATTTCAGTGTAACTGCTTTCCTTTGTAATTCTTTGTATTTTATTTTATGCATTTAAGGTGTCTATAGGCTTCACCATAATGCCAAAGGGATCCATGACACATAAACAAGAAAAACTTTTATAGAAGTGTCCTAGTATAGTGGCTAGACACTGGACTTTATTCAGGAAGTCCTAGATTCAAATTATTCTTGGGGTACTCAATAGTTATATGACCCTAGATCATTTAATTTGTTTGTGCTAGGTTAAAAAAAAACAGGAAAAAAACTTTTTGTTGTTCAGTCATGTCCAACTCTTCCTACCCCCATTTAGGATTTTCATGACAAAGATACTGAAGTGGTTTGCCCTTTCCTTCCCCAGCTCATTTTAAAGATGAGGAAACTAAGGCAAACAGGATTAAGTAACTTCAAGCAGTTAGAAAGTGTCTGAGGTCACATTTGAACTCGGGTCTTCCTGACTTCAAGCCCTGCACTCTAGCAGCTGTGCCTCCTAGCTGCCCTGGGTTAAAAAAAAATAGCCAAGGAAGAATGTCTGACAGGGGAGCATTATGTGTATTTTGAATCATAAGCTACACCCTCTACACAAAGCCTCAATAACTAGTCAGTATTACAGACTATAGTCAATAGTCAATAAACGTTTATTAAGTTCTTGCTATGTGCCAGACACTGTGCTAAGCTCTGGGGATACAAATGCAAAAAAACCCCCAAACAATCCCTGCCCTCAAAGAGCTGTCTACTGAGGAAGACAACACAAAAAAGTTGAAGAGGGTTTGGGAGGGAAAAGAAGTGAAAGAAGCCTGAAATGAGTGCTGCTGGAGAAGTCAAAGAAGCTGGAAATGAATGCAGTCAAAAAAATTCAAGAATCATAAAATTTTAGAGGTGGAAAAGACCTTTAAAGGTCTTTTATTTAACTCTGTTACTTTGTGAATGAGGAACTGAATCTCCGAGGCTTGAAGTAGTAGAAGTAGAGACAGCAGACAGGAAGCTGGTTAAAGGAAATCAAAGAGGATGGGATAGAAAAGAGGGACTAGAGTAGCATATAGGTTAGCTGGACTTTTTTTTAAGACTCAGAAAATCAATAACTTTGCTTTTAAAAAAAAAACTTCATTGCAATACAAATAAACACAGGCTGATAAATGACAGACAGAATTTGATTTCAGATCTCCAGTCTTCAAGACTAGCCCTCTCTTTCCATACCACTGTAACTGGCTCCATCATATATGTTGGCAACTGATTCTTTGTTGCCTTATACTAACTAAAAGAAGCATGTTTCATCAATGAAAAGATCTATGTTCAGGTTAAGATCTGAAATCAAAGGAGATGAGTTCAAATTCCAACTGTACTATTTACTTACTACCTTGTGACCTTGGGGAGGTCAATTAATCTCTCTGGGCCTCAGTTTCATCTGAAAAAATTACTGATTCATTCATTCAACAAGGACATATTACTCAGCTACTATGTGCTAGGTGCAGGAGATAGAAAGAAAAAAAGGAAAGAAAGGGAAAAAAAAAGATTGTCCTCTAGGAGCATACATTCAGCTGGGAGTAAATATCAACCCAAGAAAAACAAAAACAAAAGAGATTAAAAACAATTAGAGTGAATAGGGTAATGGCAACTAATGGAGAGAAGTGTACTGATAAATGTTTAACAACTGGCTCTCCAAAAGGTCATATTAATATTATTAACATTTTCTCCTTAGCTTTAAGTCTAAACAATCAACAGAATAATAAATTAAGGCCTCATTTGTAGAATTTGCTGACTGAAAATTTAACAATTGACTCTTCTGCCAATCTGGCTCCAGGAAAGGGAGTGAGGAATATTTAGATGACCACTGAGGTCCCTTTGCCACTCTTAATATACAATCTTATTTTTTTTCTAATTGTTTCAAATGAATTTGCCTACCAGTAAGTTTCTTAAGGGCCTATGAGACTTGCCCTCATTTTATGTATGTCCCCCACCCCTACATAAAAAAAAGATAAAAACAAAGACATAAGTGCTTTACTGCCTTATGAAAGAATCACTGAGACTGCAGGAGAATGACTACAAGGCATTTAGAGACCATTAAACTAAATACTTATTTTACAAATGAGGAAAGTATCGCCCAGAGACAAGTGATTTGTCTAAAGTCATACAGGTTGTAATTCCCCTGGGGCCAACAGCATAGCACCTTAGTCCCTCCATCAGATTTGCATAAAATAGTCTTGTTGAGTACTACTGGGGTATAACAAGATATTAGATAAGCATCCCCTGAGCCTGAGCAATCACTAAATTTTTGTGCCTCAGGCAGCTCTATAGGACTTAACTAATAAATCATAGATGGATGATTGTCCTACATTGTACCATTTGAAGCCTCAAGATGTGCAAATCTAGAGAACCCACTCTAAATGTTCATATGGATTATTTGTGTCCAACCTGTGGTAGAGTACTCCGAGCTCAAATTGGTCTGTTCAGCCATATTCAACATACTGTAACTTAACTCTTAAAATAGTGATGTCATTTTGGTCCTCTTCAAGAATGAAGGACAACAACTAACCAGCCAACCACTTAAAGTATATAGAATATTAAAAACATTAAAAGAAGGGCAGCTAGGTGGCGCAGTGGATAGAGCACTGGCCCTAAAGTCAGGAAGACTTGAGTTCAAATCTAGCCTCAGACCAAACACTTGACACTTACTAGCTGTGTGAGCCTGGGCAAGTCACTTAACCCCAATTGCCTAAAAGCAAAAAAACCCAAACAAACAACAAAATATTAAAAGAGCAAAAGAATGTTTGCATATTGCTTCATGGTTTTCAAAGGGCTTCCACATTATCTTATTTGATCCTCCATAACCTTTTGAAGTAGGTGGTTGCATCAGTCTATTAAAGTTTGATGACACTATCCATTACTATCCAACTCTCTTTACTCATGTTCTATGTACCAAGAAACTTTTTTTTTAATTGCGCTTTCAATTTGACTTTCTGACTGGAGAGAAGAGGCATTGGCCAGCCATACTTTGGTTCATTCATTAGTTTATTTCTTCAGTGTACATTAATATATGAGCATTTTAGTTTCATCACTCAATCTCTTGAGTTGTTAGCATGTATTAGTCCTGCATAGCTTGGTTAGCCTTTAAGTAAGGAATAAAATGGAGTTTCTATCCCTGCAAATTTGAGGACCAGTCACTGGACCTTTGATATCTCCACCAAAGTGCAGAAAGATAACTCAAGAGGCTATGTCTGAAGGAGCCTATAAACTACACTCTTTCCACCATCTTAACTACAACTCCTACAAAGAATGGGATATTACTTTGGTGTATCATCACCCACTTCTCCCTTTGGTCATTTTCATACCAATTTTACTAATAATTCCACCACAAACTACTGTGATCTTGGACCTAGAGAAGAGACACCTTAAAAGTTTAAAGGAGTTTAAAGTTTAAAGGCATGGTCAGAGTAACAAGCATCTAAATTAATTTAGAGGCATCAGAAGAATTGGGTATGCTGGTGGTGCTGAAAGTAGAGTGTGACTAGAACATCAGTCATTTTCCCCCAAGGCTTCTTCATGATGTTATAGCATAATATATTGGGATGAATATGTTGAACATAAGAAGACAGTGAAACCAGTTCAGTATTGAGTTGTTTGCCAGAAAAATTTTGTTCTGGCCCAGTGCAATAGGATCTTGCAATATTAGGAAAAAGCCTAAAGTGGAAAGTTCCATTTTTAGCATACTAATGAAGAGAAAGATATGTATGTCATTTTTCATTGAGCAAATTGGTAATTATATTTTTATAAAATTCCAAGTTAAAAGAGTAGTATTTTTCAGGTATATCATAAGATGGTTTTAAGAACCAAAACATTTACAAATGATATAGTCACCTAAAATACGATTACAAATTGAAATAAAACTTCGGTTCAGGGTTGGATAAAAATGTTTTTGCTAAACTCTAACATTAGGAATATTTTTCTCACTTTAATAATAGTTTTAATAGTGAATCAACAATAAGGCTGATGGGAGTACTGGTAAATCAATAAATTATCAAGCATTTATTAAGTAGCTATTATGTGCCTGTCATTATGCTATGCACTAAAGGTACTGGAACAAAAATGAAACAATCCTTGCCCTCAGGGTTTACATTCTATTAGGAGAGAAAAAGTGTAAATGTAAAAGTACATATAAGAAATGTTTAATATAAATGCAAGGTTATTTTTGAAGGAAGAAGGTACTAGTAGAAGGAGGGACTAAGAAAAACTCTAGGTTGAAGGGTGGC